CTCTATTTTCTTCCTGAAAACACATGCAAGGCTCTGTAGCTCCTGTTCATGTCCTTACTCAAGGACTGCTTTCTGGGAAAGCCCTCTCTCTGGCCTATCTAATTTTAAATTGGAAGCTCCTTCCCATGCAGGCACCACCCATTCCTCTTATTCTAGGCTCCAGTGGCACGTGGAATATCAAAGGAACTCAGTAAGGAGATGTCTATTGTATCAGTACTCGCAAAACTTTGACTCATCCATCAAGACTGAGCTTGAGTAGTTTCTCTGTTAAACCCTCGCTGATTTCCCCTTCACTATAGAAAGGAATCCTGTCCTCCTTCCTCTGCTCCCTTTGGCTTCCTCTGCAACTCTGTAGAGGTTTTTTCACACTTATTGCCAACTTTTCTGTCTCTTCTGAGCTCAAAAACTGAGGGAAGAGCATAGGACCAGAATCTAGGAGAGTCTGAGCAAGTGTATGTCACGGGATTGAGGCGCAACTTAGCAACAGAAGGTATGCACTATCCTTCTCCTTGTAGCTACACTTTCTGCAGCTGCACACCTATGTAGTTCTCTATTTTATTCTAAAATCTTGGCTTGAGTGGTCTGGAATTTGACCATACAGGAAGTATGTCAGAGCTTCCATGAGAAAAAACTAAAACATCTATCCGAAGCTTTTAAGACCCTCTTGGCCCTATGGATGGTAATTCCCTTCCCACATCGATGTATTTATCAAGTACCATCAATGTTACCACTTACATACCCCAAGATCATTCACTTCGTTTCATTTTCCACCTCTCCAGTCTAAGCCATGGTAACCCGCAGTGACTTGGAATACTGAGACAGCTACAGTGTACTCATCTTATCTCCCCCATCTTCTACACACCAGCCAGAATAAGCTTTTCAAAAGACAAGTCAGATGCTGTCTCTCTCCATTCAAAGACTGCATTGCACTTAGGGCAAAGTGCAAAATTGTCCCCACAACTTACAGAGTACCAGCATTGAGCCCACTTCCCTACTCAGCCTGGAAGGCCACTACCTTTAGTTTTGACTAGAAAGATTCCTCAAAGGCTCTGTTTTCTTTCCCCAAACCTCTGCTGGTTCCTGTTCTTAGAATGTTTGTCCCCTCTCCTCACCTGGGTAACTTCTACACAGTCTTCAAGTCTTGCCCAGACATTCTTTTCCAGACAGAAACCTTGCTCATGTTGAGATGAGGGAGCCATCATGTCACATGCCCCAGAGCACCTGGCTTGTCCCCTTTCCATCATGTTCCTTTCACTTAAATTACTTTTCCACCAGACTCTAAGTGTCACCTCTAGAATCCACTCTCTGTACAGGAGTGGGTGCCTTAGTACTGGGGAGTGGCCTATTGCTGGAATACAGGTGCCCCAGCTCTGGACTCTAAAAGTGGAGCTCACAAACAGTGTTTACATGTAAATCTCTCAAAGTAGGAGAGTGTAACAGAGGGCAGTTGAATAAATATTAATATTCAAAGTTCAAATTCCTGATAAAGGGCCTAAGAAGGCCTTGTCTCAAAGGTAGGTCCATTTACTCATTCAGCAAATATTTATTGAGGGCCTACTATGTGCCACGCACTGTGCTAAGAGCCAGATATACATAGTAAATAAGATAAGCACAAACCCAGTCCTCATTTATTCATTCAAGAAAGATTTATTGAGCATGTATTTACTGCACACCAGGCATTATTCTAGATACTGAGGATGTAGGTGGGGGAGGGAACGATTACAGAGCAGTACAAGGTCACTTTTGGAGATGATGAATGTTTATTATGTTGACGGTGGTGATGGTTTCACAGGTGTGTACATAGATTAAAACATACAATTTTAGATTTTAAATATTATATATATTGACTATCCACTATCAAATTACCAAATATGTCAAACATAAATGTATAAATATGTATTTTACAAATCAATAAAAAAGATAAATATAAAAAAATGACCAAAGGACCTAAATAGCCAATTCATAAATAACTGATAAACATGTTAAAACCCTTAATTTTTAAAAATCATATATTTGAAGGAAAAAAATGTTTTATGCTTTTTTTTGTATTGTATTTTATGATATTGTGTGTTCAGCAATGAAAATGGCAAAACTCTTGGTCACACCTAGTGTGGTAACTTTTTGGGGAAATGGGACTCTCACATGATGCTAGTGGGCAAATAAAGTAGTAAAACTTCATTGGAGGGCAATTTGACAATACATAGCAAAAACCTAAGATATACAAAGCTCTTGACATAATTTACTTCTGGGAATTGATCCTAAGTACATAGGAATGCACACGAGAATTGAGAAATAAGAGTATTCATCACATTTATTTTTTTAAATAATAGCAAAATATTGTAAAGAACATGTAATGTGATGAATTGGTAGAATAAGATACAGCAACTCCTGTCTATGAACACATCCATTCAAAATGAAATTGTAGAAGATTAGAGACATATAAAGATGTTTATTATATACTATTAGGTGAAAAAGCTTATAAGCAGTAGATAGAATATATTTCATTTTAGACAAAAGGTATGCATAACTTGTATATTAATGTCTAGGTAAAAGGTATTTGTATTGGGCTAGGTGATTATACATAATTTTCATTTTCTTCTGTTTTCCTCTCTACGTTTAATTGTTCTACAATGAAGATATATTGCTCTTATAATGAAATTCCAATAAAAGTTATTTTTCAAAAAAATATCAGTTTTAATGCCCTATAAATGATACTGTGAGAAATATTAGTCTTGGACCTTAGTGGCCAAAAATAATATTTAACAGAAGTCTACAAAAAGGCTTAGGTGCTGCAGGGAGGCCGGAATGCTGCTGCTCTGTAGATGGAGCCCTGTGGGGATTATTTGGGCCTGGACCACCAACAGTGGTGGCATGGGCACTGGCTTGCCCTCCAGAGCAGTTGGCACAGTTTTGGACTTCTTGCAAAAAGAATAGCTATAAATAAGGATTAAAATTATTAGCACTTGTTGAGTGGTGCCTGTGGCTCAAAGGAGTAGGGCCCTGGCCCCATGAGGTGGTGGGTTCAAACCCAGCCCTGGCCAAATACTTCAAAAAAATATTAGCACTTATCTTACCTAAGACAATGAACCCAGTTAGGTTGGGTCTACTCCGCATAATGGAGCCTCCAATGGGCATGTTCTATGTCTAAGCTATAAAGTCAGGAGTGTGAGAGCAATGAGGACTCACTATTTCCAAGTTTTCATTTTATAGTTATGTAAAGTAAGGCCAAGATGGGTCTATGCATTTGTTGCTCCATCAACATTTCTTCTGGGTCTGATAATTAAATTAAATATTTCTGGAATAGATTCACCTACTAGGAAGTTCAACACTCATGTCCTAATGAAGAGTTAGCTCTGATATGTGGCTTTAAAAACCCCAAATCTCCCTTCTCTTTCTTCCATGAAAACATGAGGACCAAGGTGCCCATGTGCCCCAGCATCATGAAGTTCATTGAATCTGTTACAGCCAGGTGACTTACATGGAAGAAAACATATACTGGAATCTCACCATTTACTGGCCTCAACGGGGTTGGCAAATGGCTTTTATCCTGTATATCAGCTGCCACCTGATTTGCTAGGAATGTTAAGATGAATTCCTAGCGATGCCTGGCTGAGAGTGAAAGGAGTGTCATGATTGATTAGAGATGTCATAGCTATGGGAGGAGTGATCAACGATGTCTTTGCCATGAATTTCCATCTTAGTCTAGAATATGTTGGCCTCAAAATAAGGTTTTTTTCATCAAATCTCTCTCACTATCCATTGTCCCTACTGACTGTCTGACGAATTATTCTCAAACATTACTTTTAATGTATCAGTCTCCTACTTAAAAACCCTCTAAAGGTTTGTTGCCATTGTCCACATGGTAAATCTACTTCCTGAGTCTAAAATTCAAGGCCCTAAAGCTTTTGCACTTAGAACTGGAACCACACAAGGAAGTCCATCCACTATTGCCACTATTATTCAACATAGTGCTAAAAGTTCTAGCCAATGCAATCAAGCAAGAGAAGGATATGAAGGTATCCAAATGGGAGCAGAGGATGTTAAACTCTTGCTCTTTGCTGATGATCTTATACTTAGAAACCCCCAGAGACTCAACCACAAAACTCCTGGAAGTGATCAAAAAATACAGTAATGTCTCAGGACATAAAATCAATGTCTGCAAATCAGTAGCCTTTGTATATGCCAATAACAGCCAGGTTGAGAAGCAAATCAAAGATAAAATTCCCTTCACAGCAGCTTCAAAGAAAATGAAATACTTAGGAATATACCTAACAAAAGTGGTGAAGGATCTTTACAAAGAGAATTATGAAACCCTAAGAAAAGAAATAGCAGAAGACATTAACAAATGTAAGAACATACCCTGCTCATGGCTGGGAAAAATCAACATTGTTAAAATGTCTATTCTATACAAAGCACTCTACAGATTCAGTGTAATCCCCATTAAAATACCTAAATTATACTTTAAAGAACTGGAAAAAATAGTACTTTGTTCTGTGTACAACCATTAAAAAACCCATAAAGCCAAGGCTATTCTTAGTAATAAAAACAAAACTAGAGGAATCCCCCTACCAGACTTCAGGCTATATTACAAGTCTATAGTAATTAAAACAGCATGGTCTTGGCACAAAAATAGAGACATAGACATAGGAAACAGAATAGAAACAAATAGATAAAACCAGTCTGTAGGTGCCATTTGATCTTTGAAAAACCAAATAAAAGCATACAGTGGGGAAAAGAATTCCTATTCAATAAATGGTGCTGGGAGAACTGGATAACCACATGTAAAAGACTGAAACTTGACCCACACCTTTCATCACTTATAAAAATTGACTCAAGGAATAAAGTCTCAGCCCGGGAGTTGGGGTGACAGGCTTGGTGTGCTCGCTGTCGCCTCTTCCCTCATAACTCTGCTCCCTTTCACCTGATCCCTCTGCCTCTTTCCAGCCACCAGTTTCCTAGATCTACCTTCGCTGTTTTCTGGTCTCTTTTCACAGTTCAGCATGCAGAAAAAAGATGCCTCCTTTGATGGTTTCCTGCCTAGCTTCCAGTGTTTCACCACCCAGGCCATCCATGCGGGCCAGGATCCAGATCAGTGGACCTCCCCGGCTGTGGTGCCTCCCATCTCAATGGCCAGCATGTTCAAGCAAGGGGCGCCAGGCCAACACTTGGGTTTTGAATATAGCCATTCTGGAAATCCAACTTGGAATTGCTTAGAAAAAGCAGTGGCAGCCTTGGATGGGGCAAAATACCGTTTGGCCTTTGCTTCAGGTTTGGCAGCCACTCTAACCATCACCCATCTACTGAAAGCAGGAGACCACGTGATTTGTATGGATCATGTGTATGGAGGTACGAACAGGTACTTCAGGAAGGTGGCATCTGAATTTGGATTACAAATTTCTTTTGTTGATTGTTCCAAAACCAAACTGCTAGTGGCAGCAATTATACCAGAAACCAAGCTTGTTTGCCTCAAAACCCCCACAAACCCCAGCCTAAAGATGATCGACATTGAAGCCTGTGCACACATCGTCCATAGCACGGAGACATTATCATGGTTGTGGATAACACTTTTATGTTGGCATATTTCCAGAGGCCTTTGGCTCTGGGAGCTGATATTTGCATGTGCTCTGTAACCAAGTACATGAATGGCCACAGTGACGTTGTGTTTGGCTTGGTGTCCATGAACTCTGAGAGCCTCCATGACAGGCTTTGCTTCTTACAGAATTCTCTTGGCACAGTTCCATCTCCCTTTGACTGTTACCTGTGCAATCGAGGTCTGAAGATGCTCCAGGTCTGAATGAAGAAGCATTTCCAAAATGGGATGGTGGTTGCCCGGTTCTTGGAATCTAATCCTTGGGTAGAAAAGGTCATTTCTCCTGGGCTGCCCTCTCATCCTCAGCAAGAGTTGGCAAAGCATCAGTGCTCAGGCTGCATGGGGATGGTCACGTTTTATATCAAGGGCACTCTCCAGGATGCAGAGACTTTCCTCAAGAACCTAAAGTTATTTATTCTGGCTGAGAGTTTGGGAGGATTCGAAAGTCTTGTTGAGCTTACTGTTATCATGACTCACGCATCTGTGTTAAAGAAGGACAGAGATCTCCTTGGAATTAGTGACATGCTAATTCAACTCTCCCTGGGTTTGGAGGATGAAAAAAATCTTCTTGAGAATCTAGACCAAGCTCTGAAGGCAGCACACCCTCCAACTGGAAGTCTCAAATAGTATTCCAGAATGGCGATTAAAAGCTACTTCCTGGGAAGATGAAATCTTCTGAATAATGTAATGGACAATTAATGGGCTTTCACAAAATTTTCGAATGAAAATTTCAAGGCACCTCATTACCTTTCATGACTGTGACGCTTAGGACCATCCCTGTCAACAACAGTTTCTGTGCATCTTGTTGAATCCACAGGGCAGGTCTGTTAATTTCCCTGTGTTAAGTTTCTATTCACTTGGCTCTGGAAGAGGAGAGACTTGTGCTGCTCTTTGGATCACGTTCTTTTTTTCATATTCTAAGACTTATTTTGATCATGTTTATAATATAATGCTAATTCATTTTTGATGTTTTATGAAGGATTTCATTATTAAATGGACATTCTGAAATCAAGTGTGATTTTTGCATATTGTTGATGACATCATTGAAAGCAATGATTTACACTTAATTACCATAAGCCAAAAATCAAATACTTGAAAAGTCTACTGTGAAATTCTACTGATTTAAGGTTGTACTAGATATATTTTTAAAAATAAATTTAATTATGAAATGGAAAAAAAAATGACTCAAGATGGATAAGATTTAAATCTAAGACATGAAATGATAAATTCTTAGAAGAAAGTGTGGGACAAACTCTTGATGATGTTGGACTGGGGAAGATTTTATAATAAAGGCTTCAGCAGCCATCAAGAGCAAACAATCCCATCTACCATTGGGCAAGAGACATGAACAGAACCTTCTCTGAGGAAGGCAGATGAATGGCTAACAAACATTTGAAAAAATGCTCATTGTCCCTGATTATCAGAGAAATGCAAATCAAAACCACCCTGAGATATTATGTAACCTTAGTGAGAATAGCTGATCACAAAGTCCCAAAGTTGTAGATGCTGGCATGGATGTGAAGAAAAGGGAACACTTTTATTCTGCTGGTGGGTCAGTAAACTAATATAGCCTGTTTGGAAAGAAGTATAGAGAATCCTCCAAGAACTCAAATTAGACCTCCCATTTGATCCTACAATCCCAGTAGGCATCTACCAAGAAGAAAAACAACCATTTTACCATAAGGACATCTGTGTAGATTGTTTGCTGCAGCTCAATTTACAATCACCAAAATGTGGAAACAGCCTACATGCTCACCAACCCAGGAGTGGATTAACAAACTGTGGTATATGTATATACCATGGAATACTATTCAGCCATAAAAAGATGGAGACTTTACATCTTTTGTATTTACCTGGATGGAGTTGTAACATATTCTTCTTAGTAAAGTATCAGAAGAATGGAAGAGCAAGAATCCTATGTACTAAATACTAATAGGAAGCCAGGAAATAATCTAATACGTGCCCACATAAAAGAAAAACTCAAATCAATTCAAGTTGGGGGGTGAGGGAATGAAGGAGTGGGGAGAGGGGAGGAGTGAGGGGAATGATGTGGTCCCACTTAATGGGCACAATGTTAGGGGAGAGACTCTACCTAAAAAATGCAAACCCTGTAACCTAATTCTTTGTACCCTCAAATTAACCTGAAACAATAAAAAAAATTAAATTTAAGGTCCTCCACAATTTGACACCACTTACTATTATAATTTCTTAGCAGCCCTACACAAAACCTCCTCTTTAGCCTCTCTGGCTTATTTCCAATACTCAAAGCCTGTGGTCTGAAAGGGCCCCTATAGGAGTCTAACCAAATGGCAGCAACTGGACTAATAGCCCAGGATGAGTCCCTTGCTGGGGAAGCCCAGAATGGAGAGTGGGCATTAGAATCTCTGGGGTTAGGGTCTGAGTCAAATCTAAGCAGGTAAGTTCTGCCTTTTCATTTTGATACCCTAGTTTCTATCTAGTTTAGCTGCCTGTCAATAGTCTTAAATCCTGGTGCTTTCTAGCTGTTTCTGAACAGACATCTGATCCATATCTCACATGCCTTCATCTCTGGGCTCATGGCATTTTCTTCACCTTGAGTGCCCATTTCTCTTCCTTTCTGTCTGTTTGAATCTCACCTACCCTTCAGTGCTCAGCTCTAAGGCATCATAGTGAGGGTCTGGACTGTCTCAAATAACCTACTTCTCAGAGCCTGATGCTGACAGCATTCTCTAATTCATCTCCAATGTTGGCTGGTTCTATAGCGCTAGCTTGACACTGACATTCACCATGAGAGTCCACTTGTCCCAGGCAGCTACATTCAGGGGCTTTATGAATACTGACTCACTGTCTCATTCAGATGGAGCAGTCTGGATGTGGACTGGGATATTAAGGTGTCTCTTAACTGTTAGATTTAAATACCAGCCTCAGGTAACAAAGCATCATAAACTAGCAATGGAATGCAGCAGCATAAAGCACAATAAATTCTTATTGCCCATGGCTAAAATGAAACAAAATGTTATTCCAGAATAAGGGAGAAAGAAAGTAAAACTATCATGGAAAAATATGAGCAGGTTAACGTTTTCAGCATGCTGAACCCCACCTGAGTGACCCAAATGAGTTATTGAACTTGAAAATAAACAATTTGGTATTCACCCTGCTAGTGACTAGGCTATGATCAACAGCAATGGGAATTTCTCATAGTGAGACTCTAAAATAAAGAAGTTCACAATCCATATATTTAATTTGGGTTAAGTTTATTGCTTTTGAGCCAAAGAAAACATACAATATGAAACTTGTATTTATTCTGATCACCATGATGTGAAAAATCACAACGCCAAGCTTGTGTAAGTTATGGGGAACAGAACACTTCTGCTTGTTACTTTATCTGTGTCTTATACCCAAATAGAGAAATCATAAGCTTTTCCCATATGCTGATATGTTATGAAGATTCTTCGCTGGCTTCAGACAATAATGAAAATGAAGGTAATCTTTCTGTGCTCTAATCCTATAGATACCAGGCCCAGTGGCCATGTTGATAAGTAATCACCAACATGACCTCCTTTGCCTCCTGTGAGAAAAACCTTAAACTTTGGGCCATGTAATAATTCTTGCTACCACTACCAACATTTGTGGGTCCCATAGAGTTAGGAAGATTTCTTGCCCATTTTGTAGGATTTTTTTTTTTTTTTTAAGAAGAGGACTTTTACTACAGACATATGAAAAAATGCTCATCATCATTAATCATCAGAGAAATGCAAACAAAAACTATTCTGAGATACCATCTAACTCCAGTAAGAGTAGCCCACATCACAAAATTCCAAAACTACAGATGTTGGCATGGATGTGGAGAAAAGGGAACACTTCTGCACTGCTGATGGGAATGCAAGCTAGAATGTTCCTTTTGGAAGGGGAAGTTTGGAGAACACTCAGGGATCCAAATATAGACCTGCTGTTTGATCCTGCAATTCCTCTTCTAGGTGTATATCCAAAGGACCAAAAACCATTTGGCAATAAAGATATTTGCACCAGATTGTTCATTGCAGCTCAATTCATAATTGCCAAGTCATGGAAGAAGCCCAAGTGCCCATCGATCCATGAATGGATTAATAAATTGTGGTATATGTATACCATGGAATACTATGCAGCATTAAAATAAATGGAGACTTTACTTCTTTTATGTTTACATTGATGGAGCTGGAAAATATCCTTCTTAGTAAAGTATCTCAGGAATGCAAAAAAAAATACCCAATGTACTCAGTACTACTGTGAAACCAATTTACGATCACTCACACATGCATATGAAAAATGAAACACAACTATAGACTGGGATGAAGGAGGGAAGGGGAGGGGGGTGGGTCAGTAGAGGGAGGCTTGGTAGGGGGACCACACCTATGGAGCATATTGAAGTACAAGTTGGATCTATCAGGTGTACAGCATAAATGTCTTAATCCTATAATTGGGTAAAAGTGGTGAAGGCTACCTTGTTTAGTAGGATGTAAGCATTCCAATTTGTACAAATAATCAACATGTTGAATCCTATGATGGCATAAATGTATTTATGATCTATGTATGAATGACTTAATAAAAAAAAAAGAGGACTTTTAGGTCCTAGGTTCACAGCACATTTAAGAAGAAGCTACAGAGATTTCTCATGTACACCTTGCCTCTGTGTATGCATAAGCCTCATTTTTTTTTTTTTTTTTTGCAGTTTTTGGCTGGGGCTGGGTTTGAACCCAGCACCTCCAGCATATGGGGCCGGCACCCTACTCCTTTGAGCCATAGGCGCCACCCTAAGCCTCTTTTTCTTCAGGCTTTTGTAAGGAAGAATTCTTCCCTTCCACCCTGACCATCTCCAGGTGTCATGTGTGAAGGTTCCTCTGGCATCTCTGTGATTCTGGTGTGAGGGCCACAGGATGTGGATGTCTTCTACAACCCCCAATACCAGAGGGCAAACATGGGTTCTGCCCTCTGGTAGAGGGGGTTGTAGAGCACGTCCAATAAGTTGGTGAAGGCACTAGGTGATAGACACTAGGGAGGTTGTACCTGTAGCTGGTAAAATTATTTAAACATTTGCCTTGAGCTGTCTGTCTGGGTTGGTAGAAATCTGGCCTCAAGGGAATAGTCTGGCTTTTGGAAGGTGCTGATGTTGCAACTCTCTCCTTGGAAGTTGAATATAGCTCTAGTTTGGTAGGAAAAGGTCATGGGAGAGTACTAGGGAATGGTTAGCAAGGGGAGAGAAGATACAGGGGCCATTCTTTACTGCTGTGTCTTTCTCAAAGTTTCAATCTGATTGAGAGGATATAGACTGGCAAGAGCCCAGGAAGATTCAGAAAGGGGCCATAGATTGGAATCTAGACAAGCTATAGAGTCCAGACTAAGAACTACACTCACCTCACATGGAAAGTCAGCCAAGTTTCCACTGGTGAGTCTGGATTCTGTAGGCAATTTAGTGATTTCCTGTTGGCCACCTCCTGTTGCTGCCTCCCTCCCATCTGCAAGCAGTCACCCATCCATAAATCCTGTCCAGCCTTGGATTTCTGCCCAATGTTTCAGAGGGTTGGACTCACCAAGGAGAGCGGAATTCCCAGGATCCAGGACCAGCTGTGTTCCCAGAGGAGACGTCAGCACTGAAGGAAGGTTCGGTCCAGTGGCTGAGAGCAAGGCCTTGATGTCTTCCAACTGTGTGGGGACTTGAGGGGGATCTGTGAGA